AGGGAGCCCTGGTCTTGAGCCACAGCAGAGGGCATCAGCCTTAGGAAGCCCAGCCCCGCCTGGAGGCTCCACTTCTGCAAACTCAGCTGGACCTGGGAGGGCCGCCCAGAGAGAAGTGGGGCTTGGTGAGGGGAGTGCTGGGCCCACTGCTTTTGTTTATTGTTTGCTTTGTTTGTTTTGTTTTGTTTTTCCTGACTAAGCCCTTTGTTCTTCTTGTTTCTGGGGGAAGATCAGGTTCTTCGGCTGGTCTGTAGGGAGCCCTCCCTGCGACCAGGAAATCCCGAGTCAGCAGGACCCCGTCTGTTTGTCTTTCATCCCCATTCCTTGCTACTCCGGGGGCCACCCCAGCAGCATTTCCCAGGCAGCCTGTCGTCAGCCTCCTCCCTGCAGCCTCCTCCTGCACCCTCTCACAAGACGCTGGGGCCTGGTGCTGAAGGACTTACAGGGAAGGAATGTCGGGCTCCTCTGGGCTGGGAGCGCACCTGCGTGCAGGGAGGTTCCTGTTCCGCCACATTTGGCCCCCGGGCACCGCGGGTGAGTGCTGCTGCAGGAAGGAGCAGGAGAGACGCACTGCTCCCGCAGTCTCTCTCCCCTTCCCTCCTCTCCTCCCACCTTCCCTATCTCCTCCATCCCCTGTCCCCGCCCCTCCTTGTCCTCAGGAAGCCATACCCCACTCTGGTGGAGGGGCTCAGGCCGCCGGTGAGGGTGCTGGGGCGGGGCTGTTCTCTCAGTGACTCTGGAGGAGTGGCTGGAGGTTTTCACGGTGAACACAGAAAGGGGCGCTCCGTCCGAGCTGAGCCTCGGGGGCCGTGAGCCTTGCTCTTGGCCCTGCTGCTCATACAGCCCTCTGTGCCTCGCTTCCCTCCCACAGCAAGGAAGGATGACGGGTGCAGGGTCTGCATGGTGGTGTGGGGTGGCCACGTTGCTCATGAATCACCTGCAGGTCACCGTGGCTGCAAACACAGCCTTACGCTGGTAAGGCCCTGGGCAGCCACACTGTGACACCTGGGACGCCACACCTGGCGTTTTCCAAATGAATTGAACGGGTAGGAATTTCCACATCCCTGGATATTTCACGGATTTGCAGAGGGACTGGCCGTGCAGCTCCGCAGAGAGCTCCTCCCACACGCACTCAGGCACACACAACTCTCACCTGCAGCCTAGGCCATCAACACCTGATGCTCACGGAACTTTCTGGAGCTTCCAGGGAGTGACACGAGCTTCCCCAGGAACTCTGCGTTTCCTGGGAAACTTGGTTTCCCAGGGAGCTCCTTCCCTTCCAGGCTCCACATCTGCGGTGACAGCTGGGAGGCCTGGGCTCGGAGCAGTGACCTTTCCTCACCTCTCCCTGGCACGTCTGTGCCTCTGCCCCTGTGGCATTTGGAAGCCCCCCCACAGCCGCCACACACACCGCTGCCTCTGCCACAGGACATGAGTGGCGGCTGCCAGATGACACCTGTCTGCTGGCCAGAGCGGGCGCCTGACCTCGCAGGCCTGCGCTGGAGGCTCTGCAGGTGGGGAGGGCAGTGTGCAGTGGCCATCTGGCACGTCCCAGAGGCTCCTGGCCTGGGTGGTGACAGATTCCCCTCGCCCCTGATGGCCCACACTCAGGATGGGCTGGTCTTGCATCCTCGGGCCCCGTGTGAACGTGGAAATTCCCAGCTCCTGCCACCCTCCCATCCTTCAACACAGGGACAGGAATGCAACTCTCCCGGTGGCGGCGACCACCGCCTGCAGGGGCCTGCTGGCCTCCCCTTTGCACGTGGCTCAGGGGCCTGCTGGCCTCCCCTTTGCACGTGGCTCAGGGGCCTGCTGGCCTCCCCTTTGCACCTGGCTCAGGGGCCTCCCGACCAAGACTCCTTGAGGCCACTGTGTGACACACACCACACACCCCTGGCACCAGAGGCCCGGAAAGGACCAGCCCCTCCTAGCGGTTCCCCGGGCCCTTTGGGGGAGGATGGGCACCTGCTTGGCAACCCCTGGAGAGGGGGGGAGGGGCCGCATCTGGTCCATCAATCCATCTATCTTCGCTTTTTACATTTTTATGCAGCAAGCACGTATTTCATCATGTTAGAAGAACAATACGTATTCTAAAAATCATGACACAGAATTGAAGGTGGCTTCCTGGCGGGAAGAATGAAATCGTGGGTCCCACCACAAGACGCTGTCACCTTGCTCCCCCTTTCCTTTCCCATTTAAGCATTTTTGTTTTAGTTTTTATAGAGATGAGGTCTCACTATGTTTCCTAAGCTGGTCTTGAACTCCTGGCCTCACGTGATCCTCCTGCCCGAGTTGCCGGGACCACAGGCACGCACCATACCTCGCTAACTTTTGCATTTTTTTGCAGAGACGAATCTCACCACATTGTCCAGGCTGGTCTCGAACTCCTGAGCTCCAGCAATCCCCCCACCTCAGCCTCCCAAAGCGATGTGATTGAAGGTGTGAGTCACCATATCTGGTCTCTTCTTTTCTTTCCCTCCCTCCTCCCTTCCTCTCTCTCTGTCTCTCTCTCTCTTTTACTCTCTCTCTCTTTCCCTCCCCCTCTCTCTCTTTCTCTCCCTCCCCTCCCTTCCTTGCTTGTAATAGACTTTAGTCTTTAGAGTGGTTTTGGGGTTATGGAAAGAGTGACCAGAAAGTGTGGAGTTCCCACACATGCCCCTCCTGCCTCCTCGGTTGCTCCTAGCATCCCGCCTTAGAGTGGAGCGTTTGTCACAGTCCTGCCAATGCTGCTGTCATTCACTGGAGTCCGCGGCGCACTGGAGGGCTCATGCCTGCGGTGGCACATCCTATGGTTTGGACAAATGGATAGTGACACGCGTCCCCCATTATGGCATCACACAGGGGAGTGTCACCCCTAAACCCCTCTGGGCTCTGCCCGTTCATCCCCCTGTCCTAGCCCTTGGCAACCACGGCTCTTCCCGCTGTCTCCTGAGTTCTGCCTTTTCCAGGCGTCAGGGTGGGGATCGTGCTGCATGCATCCTTTCCAGACTGGCTCCTTCCCTCAGCAGCAGGCACTGAGGGCTCCTCTGTGCCTCTCACTGTTTATCTCCCTGCCTGGTGGCTTTTCGTGGGTGATACCCGCTGTGCCTAGGGCCGTCCCGTGGCCCCTGCTGCCTCATGCTCTGGGGCTCAGGGTGCATTCCCATCTCCTCAGTTGCCTGGTGACTCACTGTGGCCTCTTCCCTGCCTCTACCACCAGTTTTTTTCTGGGCATAAAATCTATTCCTGACTCCATTTGGAGCTCCCTGTGGTTCAGGGCATGGAGACCAGGCACATGTAAAGATTGCATCTCTAATTGAATCGAGAATCAGCTGCCTTCAGGACTCACGCTTCATCAGCCTTGCCAAGGCCGAGGCAGGAGGGCTGCTCGAGCCCAGGAGTGGGCAACACAGCAAGCCCCTGTCTCTACTAAAAATAAACAAATTAGCAAGTGTGGTGGCACACGCCTGTGATCCTAGTTACTTGGGAGGACGAGGTGGAAGGACTGCCTGAGCCCAGGATTTCAAGGCTGCAGTGAGCTATGATTGTGCCACTGCACTCCAGCCTGGGCAACAGAGCAAGACCCCATCTCAAGAAAGAAAAGAAAACAAAGCCACCTCTTGTTTACAGAGCTTGCGGCTCTGCAGCTGGAGGGCTGTGTGGGCACTTTCTTGGCAATGTGGACCCTGTGGCCATGAATGGCAGCGGTCACCTTCCTGGATGGAGCTGACTTTTCTCTGGCCTGAGCAGCAGCCTGAACCTCTGACTCCACTCAGCGTGACCTGCAGACAATTGTTTGGGGCCCCATTCTAATTCCCTCCTAGGGATTCTCAGCCATCTTTCTTTTTCCTTGTGGCAAGAGATGGCCAGGACTTTGGAATGGGCAGTGGGTTTGCTGAAGATCACGTCTGTGGAATGCTGGGCTCTGGGGTGGTCTGACCCTTGGGGCGAGCCTCTTTTCTCAGCTATTTCGTGACTCTATCCAGATAGGAGCTACTTTAGGAAAAGAGCAACACCTACGATTCCTGTCCATAGAATGGCATTAGTCGGGTCCCATGGAATACAACTGATTACACCCTGAGCACAGATGAGGTTCTACGAATTCCTGCCGACATTCCTGCACTGTAGCTAAACCTGCGTCCTGTGGCTTCCCTGCCCTGGTGCAGCAACAGCTCCCTCCTTACCTCCTTTGGTATTCCCTTTAATGTGCAGGAGGGGCCAGTGATTGACTTCGGGTGTACACTGTCCCTCCACACCACTTCCCTGTCTTCCATGGTTTCTCTTATTCATTTTCTTCCACCTCCCAGGCACTGACCCCCAGGAGTGACCCCGAGGGGAGACCATGCCAGGAAGCACACTGGCTGGGGGGACCCTGAGGCCTCCCGGGGAGAGGCAGGAGCCGGAGGCAGCAGGAGCTGAAAGGAGTTGCCTGTTCTTTACAGTCTGTGCTGTGCACCCTCTGCCCCCAGGAGGCATCCTCAGAAGTGGGGAGGGAGAAGGAGGAATGGAGGAGTCTTTTAGCATAGTGTGGCCTCCATCTTCCCTCCCCAGGACACCGGGGACCATCCTGAGGGTGGCTTGAGTTGAGGGCCCCTCTGCAGAGGCTGGCAGTCAGACCCACACCCTGAGAGCGGGGCAGGAGCATTTGGGGATTTATGACCTAAAGGGTCCTTCTGGAGTGGAGAAGAGCAGCTGCCTCGTCTGCTCAGCCTGGACACCCCTCCTGCCCGTCGGGACACTCCGAGGGTGTTGCTTGTGAGTCTTGGGATGTGTGATGTCCTGTACACGCTGCCCAGCTCGATGTGAGGCTATGTGCTGTCCTGACGCCTCTCGCAGGGTCCATCAATCACCCCCGAGCACAGACTCCGCTTACCCCGCACTTACAGCCGTCACGTCGCTAAATGGCTCTGCCTATTACCGCAGCGCAAATACATGATCCTTTCACTTTGCAGATTCCATGTAATTGTGCGTGGACTGTGTCAGCTTCGGGTTTAATTGGTGTGTAGGCTGCGAGGCATGAATTACAGCATGTGTAATTTATTTATGCAATAAAATTTACCATTAACCGAGAGAGGAAAAATAAAGAGAAAAATAATATGTTTTGTACTGTAATTACATAATAAAGTTTGAATTAGGAATATCACTTGGCCCACAAACTTCCTCTGGCCTGAGAAAGATCAGAAAGCAACGTGGTCTCTTCAGTCCCCTCCTGGATTCTCAGGAGGAGCAGGTCTGCCTCTAAGTGCAGCAGGACAAGCAGGTTGGTTGTAAACGGAGCCCTGGGGAAGAGTGGGTCCGTTGAGAACCAGCTGCATTGACGGGGACGTGGCCAGGCCAGGTCAGCTGGAGAGAGATGGAGAAAAGTAGGGGACGGGTAAATAGAAAGTTAATTTTCTTATATAAAATGAATTGTGAAAACTGCTCACTGGATAGCCAGGCCACTTACTCATAAAGAAAAAGCAAGAGAAATGCCTGCTGCTGCGCCTGGGTGTTCAGTTCCAGGTCTAGGGCCACGCCAGAGCTCCCGGTCATCCTCCAGCTGAAATGCTAAGATGCGGAGGCCTGGCTCCCCATGACCTTTCCACCAGAGCCCCTGGCATGACTCAAAATCTGTGATTCTTTAAAATGATTAACATCCCCGCTACCCCCACACCCGGGCTATGACTCTATTCTGCTGTGGTGACTCCGCAGGTGAGGCTGGGATGAGCCGGAAGGAACTGCGTGCTCGCCAGCGCCTCCCAGCCCAGGTCTGCGGTCCGTCCTCTGGAGCCCCGCGCTGCCTCCACCTTGGCTCCCGGGCCAGCACCCCTGGGCTGAGCGCAGGGCCAGGGGCCGGCGGGTTCCAGAGGGAGCGTTTCCAGGGCAGGATGAAAACCGAAGTGCCTGTCAGGCAGGGGGCAAGGACAAGAGAAACGCCCCTCTCAGGCCTGGGAGAGACTGTGGGGCCAGCTCAGGGACCCCCACCGCTCAGGGCCGCCGCTTCCACGGGGAATGCTGGTCGGAGCGGGCTCCGGACCTTCCCGCATGAGGAGACCACAGGAGCCCGGGCTTTATGAGGCCTCTCTGACCCCGAACCTGGGCTGCTGGCTCCCGGCACAGGCTGGGGCGGCGTGGGGCGGCCGGAAGCGCCCCATCCCTCTGCTGCCCGCCTGGTTCACTCGGGCCCGGCGGACCCTGACCTGGCCCTGGAGGCCGCTGCGGCCCGCACCCGGCTCCTCACCAGCCCCATGACCGCCGGCCCTCACCGGCCCTCACACCCCAGAGCGGCGCACAGGGCTCGGGCCTGAAGACGTCCTGACGGTCCCTGAGCAGCCGGGCCCGCGCAACCCGGGGTCCCCGGGAGGGAGTGAGGCTCCGGGCCTTCAGCAGACGCCAGGGCCGCAGACAGCCCTGACCCGAGCTCCAAAAACCTCCGAGCCGGGCTCCTGGAGAACCACCCCGCGCCGTGCGTCCCAGTCAGTGCGCCCCGGAAGGCGGGGACGTCAGGCGAGATCGTCCGCAAGAAGTCGCGTGAAGACGCCACCGGGAAACATGGCGGCCGCACTCGGAGGAGGGCTTCGCACGGAAGTTGTATTTTTCTTCAGCTCCTCTGTGTTTTTCAAATCTTCTGTAGAAGTGTCTATAGTGACAATCAGAAAAACAATCTGAAGGAAAGACAGGAATTGCCACCGACCCCAGGGGCTGCATTGATCGCTGGACATTTGTCACGGTCTGAGCCGTGGGGCCCCGCCCCGCTCAGCCAGAGCCTTCAGAGCCGGGAGGGCTAGGAGGGGAGGCGGGGCGGGGTTTGAGGACTGTTTCTCTCCGACAGAAGGAGTAATGGGGCCGTCATGTAGGCAAGGTCAAAGGACAATGTGACGGTTGCAGGGTGACCCGAGGCCAGCTGTCCTTTGCAGAGCAGCTGAGCTGTCAGTGAGGGGTGAAGTGTGGAATGGGACTCGCTGACGAGAGCCCACTCCTGCCTGGGCCGGGACGGGCGTGGGGCCCAGGGCGGGTATGGCTGGAGGGGGGCTTGCCGGGTGGACCGGCAGGGGGGCTCTGGGAGCAGTGGCTGGGATAGGAGGCGGATGCATCTGCCTGCTCTGCCCAGGCCTGGGGCCTGTTCCCACCAGGACGTGCCCCAGAAGAGGCTCCCGCTCTGTGGGAAAATCATTCTGCTCCTCTCTCCCGTTCAGCCCTGAGGCAGAGCCTGCACTGCGGTTTCATGAGTTGGGAGCTGTGATTGTGAGGATCCCTTCGTCTCTATTGTTCGGGGATCTCCTTGACGTCAGTAAAAGCCACCATAAATCCCCCAACCTCCTGAGAGCCTCCGCTTGGCTCTGGTGGGGCAGTGTCCTGGAAGAGAGGTTTGGGGCTGCTGCTCCTGGCTGAGGGTCTTCCAGAACGACCTTACTCAATGTCCAGGAATCATAGGAGCCCAGTGTCTTGGCCTCACCAGGCTCTGTCACTCCCTCAACCCTGTGGCCCTGCAGTTCTTGAAGCTCAGGTCCCAGTCCTTGGTGACCACTGAACAACCCCGGCCTCTGCTTACTTCTTCAGGAAGGTGGAGCCTTACCCTGTTAGCAACGTCTTTCCAGCATCCCTGGGAGAGAAGCAGCTTGCCAGCCCTCTGGGCTTGGTTTTAAACCTGCAACTGGAGCGTGACCCAGAGGTGTGTGTGCCTGGGCCCTGCCCAGTGAGCGAGAGCCTGGCTCTGAGCATCCTGCCTGAACATCCCCAGTCCCTGGCGAGGCGACGCCACTTAACAAGACACCTTGGGAGCTGAATTCGGCAACGGGATGGCACGAACGCCCAGCTTTCCCATCTAATGAGACGGCTTCCACTGAACTCACAACGTCGTAAACCTTCCAGAGACCGAAGCAACGTGCACCCAGAAATTGTTTGGATCATTCTCTGCCTAGACTAATTTAGAGGGAAGATTCTCAGCGAATCCATCCCCAACCCTTGATTGTTTCCTGCAAGGACGTTAGGTCCCACTGTGCTTCAAAATGTTTGGAACAGGAACTGATTCGTTTGTTCCTAACATGACACCTGGAGGAGGCAGAGTTGCTGTGGATGCCACGCCACCTCGCAGCCGTGACAGCTAATGACGCCTGCGCTCCCCACTGTGGTCCCTGCCTCATCCTCTGTGCCGTTGTCTTGTGTGTTCTGTTTATATGAATGGCAACAAAAGTAGAAATCAGAAAAGAAAAATGGGCTTCAGTGAGGCTGTTTTTTTTTTTTTCTTCTCCTTCAACCCAGGAAATTCAGATCAATAAAAGTGTAATAGAAAGATGAGAAGAAAGAACATTCCGAAGTAGTGTGTTTAAATCACTCCAGCACCAAGACCGCACATCCTGGGAAGCACAGGTGTCCTTTTCACAGCCTCACGAGGAAAGCAGGTGACTTCTCCACAGAGGCTCTTGGTGGGGCTCCTCGATTTGAGGTCGTCTGCTCTTGCAGCCTGGGCACGCGGGGGTGAGAACACAGCTGGGCGAGCCGTTTTGCTGCAGTGCCCCGGGCATCTTCTGGGTGTGGGGAGGCAACTCCACGTGGGAGGTGCCGGTGGGTCCCAGTCCCAGGCTCGTGCCACTTTTCTGAGCCCTCTGGGCCGGCTTCATGCCTTCCGGGCCTGCTGAGCTCCGTGCCCTACCTGCCACCCCCAGAGGACAGGCTGCCGCTGTACCCATGGGGCCTCACTGCAGGGTGGGCTCACCAGGGGCAGCTTCTGCGGTGTGGTCACCTGGTGGCCTGTGATGGGCAGTCAGTCTTGACCAGGGGCTAGTAGGAAACCAGGGTTAGTTTTCCCACAGGGACCAATCTTTCTGCAGAGGACAGCATCGATTGGCTTCTCAGTCCTGAAGGTCTGCATGGCTATCCTTCCTCAGGTCCTCTCCAGAGGCTCTGCTGGCTGGTCCTTCTTCGCCACAAATGTTTGGGGTTTCTGGGCCTGCAGCTGCCCTGCCATGAGCCTGCATCGAGCCTCATCCTGTGTGTGAGGGGGTCACTGAGCTAGGAGCTCGTGGCTTCTCGAGGGGGTGCAGAAGTGGTGACATCAAACCCAGCCCGTGCTGTTCCCACTGCGCCTCCATCCGTGTGGTGCTGTGATGCCCGTCCTGAGGTCACGGGATGAAGTGTCTGCTGCCTTGGGTTTAGGGCAGTCGCCCTCTACAAGAACATCACAGGAAATATGCAAACATGATCCCAGAATGGAGCCATCGACATGTTCGAGGGAGCGGCCTGTTTTCATGGAATCCCAGGACAGATCTTGTTGCAAAATGAAAAATCTTTCCACAAAATGACCAAGCGCTCCCTAACAGGCGCCATCTACGAGCCTTACATTTGGGCTGGTTGGTTTGCTGATGTCAGGCTTCCTCGGCCTTGGCACGACTGCCTGTGGGCCCATTCGCTTTGCTGCCAGCCTGTCCTGGGCACCGTGGGACACTGAGCAGCAGCCTGCCCCCACCCTGCAAGGCCAGCAGCACCGGTCCAGGGTGGCGATGACCTCAAATGTCTGTAGATGTCACGAGTGTCCCCTGTGGGGGGCAGACTCCCCCCAGTTGAGAAGCACTGACTTAAAAAGTGACTTTTCATTCTTGATCTGGCAGAAAGGCTTGGGTAGCAGCCAGGGGAATCCACGTCTCCCTCCACGGGGCCTCTTGAAATCCACGCAGGAACACCAGGCTCCATCTGGGGCAAGGCATGGCAGTGAATGCCAGGACTTCCAGCAGCTTCCGCTGGAGTTGGGGGCGGAGGGAGATGAAGGCCCCTGTAGTCAGCACGTGACTTGTCATGGGACAGGCAGCATCCAGGGGTACGGGTCCTGCAGAGGAGACCATGGCTGAGTTGTACTGAGCCCCTCGGGAGGGGAACCGCCGAAGCCTGCCATGGTCCCCTGAGCCCTGCAGTAGGGCAAGCTCGTCCTCTGTGATCAACCTCAAAGCATCCCTTGTTGGCCGTAACGTCTCACTGAGTATCTCTGACCCGGAATGTTTTCTATAACTCTTCAGAGTTGCATGACTGTTGATGTCAGCAGCATTTCCTGAGGCCTGTGAGCTTTAAAGCACGCATGTGCAGTTTTATTTCTGTTGACTTGTCCTCAGTTTACCTATTTTATGCTCCAGGAGGGATCTTTAGTTCCAGTATGCCAGGATTAGGGGGACTGTTCCCCCAGCTCCTCCCACAGGCTCAGCCCCAAGTCCAGGGTGCTCACCCACTTTCTACCATCAGCTGTGACACCCGGGCCCGAAAGTGGCTTCTTCTGCATGGATGTCCCCTGCAAGGACTGGCCAACAGGATGATGCTGCTTTTGAGCAGAACTCACTTTCTGTGCTAAAGAAATATCACGTTGCTCAAGCTCTCCCAGCAAATTGCTCCTAAGCACAGAAGAAAGTGGACTTAGAACATTCATTCATCACCTTCCCTGTGGGGGCCACTGAGAGCCCCACATGTTCTGGCTCTGGGGCTGCATCAGTCAACAAAACAAAGTCCTTTTCCCGGGAACTCCTGTCCGGGCTCAGGAGGTCACCGCCTAAGTGGTCACCACCCATCCCGAATCTGCTGTGTTTAGAAGGCCATGGGCTGGAGGACCCAGAATTGGATGCTTTTGCCCCAACGATGGCTGTCACCCAGAATCCCATGGGGCCACCACCTCCGGCAGCTAAGAGAGACCTGGTGGAGAATCACAACCTTCCCTACCTTCCAGCAGCTCGGAGGTGGCTCTGCTGGTGGGAGAATCACAATTTTCCATCTGTAAGTAGTTGAATGTGCCACGTGACACACTGGGCAGAGTTGCCAGTGTTTCCCAGACATCAACGTGCTTTCTAAATAGAGGCCACAATGTTGAGGCCAATTGAAGCACAGCTCTGAGCCCAGCCAGGTCAGAGCCCTGTGAAGTGGAAACGTCAGATATCAGTAAGTTACACCCGGTTTGGAAATTCAGCTGAGACCAGGCTTTTAACAGGCAGGTACACCTGTCTTCCAGGCTCAGGGAGAGGCCTCCTGATGTCCATTTAGCACGTGGCGAAGGCTCTTCCAGGGCAGCTTACAAGCTTTGAGGCCGGCGTTTCCCACCATGGCGCCTGTCTTCACAGTCCTCCAGGATGGCGCTGTGACTGCATTCCTGTCTGGCAGGAAGAGGCGGTTCTGACCCTCCCTGGCCTTTCCTACCATCATGGCCCCCACTCTGCAAGTCAAGAGACCAGCGCAAGGGTCTGCCCATTGCTGGTCACTCACATGAAGCCCACATTCTGCATCTGAAGGAATGACTCAGCCAAGCACACGCCACTGTGAGGAGGGTGGAACCCAGACCCGGTTCTCCGTCTGGCCCCCAAGAGTTCCTGCCTGTGGGCCTCCAGGAGTCAGCATTGATTCAGAGCCACTGTCTAGAAATTGCCAGAAGACCCATGGAATGTGTCTTCCCACAGTGCAGTGACTTGGAAAATGGCTTCTGCAGGGTCCCTTTGGGGAAGGGACAGATCCCTGGTGGTGTGGCAACGTCTTCACTCAAGGGAGCCCAGAACCCCGTTCCTACAAGGGCCCTTGGGGCTCTGACCTGCCTTAAGTCTGGCCAGGGGTTAAGAGGCTGTGATTCAGGTCAAACCTCAATTTATCAGGGTTGGCGGTTGCTTTTTCTCTGTTTTATTTTTTCTTTTCATTATACAAATCAAGTAAGATTGGAGTTGGCTGTTGCTATGGTTTGCATGTCTCCTCCAAAACTGTTGAAATGACGCCCAGTGTGGCCGTGTTGAAAGGTGGGAAGCCTTGAAGAGATGATTGGATCCTGAGGGCTCTGCCCTTGGGAATGGATTAACCCATTCATGGATTCAGGGATTAATGGGTTGCCATGGGAGGGCACTGGTGGCTCGATAAGAAGAGGAAGGGAGACCTGAGCTGGCACGTTAGCAGGGTCGCCCCCTTGCCATGTGATGACCTGAGCTGCCTCAGGTACCCGCAGAGAGAATCCCCACCAGCACGATGGCTCTTACCAGCTGTGCCCCCTCAACCTTGGACTTCTCAGCTTCCATAAGTGTAAGAAGTAAATTCCTTTTCTTATAAATTACCTGGTTTTGTTAGCAGTGGTGGTTGTCTGTATGGGTCTGCAGCAACCTCAATTCTTGGCTCCTCAGAAAAAAGAATTCAACTGAGAGGCAGAAGGCAGGAGAGACCAAGGTGAGCTTTAGACAGGAGTGAACATTTATTAAAAATCTCTAGAGAAGGAATGCGAGGAAGGAAAGTCCACTTGGGAGAAGGTCAAGTGGGTGACCTGAGAGACCAAGTGTGTGGTTTGGCCTCTTGACTTGGGGTTACGTGTCGGCACGCTCCCGGGGTCACCTCTCCCCACTCCTGAGATCTTATCAGGAAGCTGCTCATCACCAGCTTCGGGTATTTTCTCTATTAGCAGCCTGCCTTTCCCTGGCACCAGCTGTGGTCAGTTATTACTTTACAGAGACAGCGTGACAACCGCCTGACCACCGCCTGATGGTCGCCGACACTCCTGGGGTGAGCGGACCCTCTCCTGCCCTGCTCACACCACACTGGCTGCCCATGTAACAGGCTCAGGTATTCTGCTGACACTCCTGGGGTGAGCGGACCCTCTCCTGCCCTGCTCACACCACGCTGGCTGCTCACTGTATCAGGCTTAGGTATTCTGTTACAAGCAAAAGAGAACAGACGATCACAGTTCTCTCCTTGAGTCCCAGGAATGCTGTGATTCACGGGTTGTCATCAGAGATCTCTGTGGGCCAAGCCATGGCCATGTTTGGACAGTCCTGCTGCCCACTGTGTAACCACAGCCACCTTATCTACGACTTGCCCCTGGGCCCCTGCCCTTCTGGGATTTTGTTTTCCCCTTTGAATTTGGGGGCTCTGAGATAATGGCAGCATCTCTCACGGTGACGGCGGCCTCAGATCACAGTTGCGGTGGAGTCTAACAGTGGAGGCTCTCTCCTCATCCATGCATTTCTCAACGCCGTGGGGAGGGAAGTCCTCCGGGCTCTGGAGGAAAAGTGACGCAGTGGGCAAGAAGGTCATGCATAAGAAACCTACCCACGGCGACAACTCCCTCTCATGAGCTCTGTTTTCCTTTCCTGTTAGCATTTGGCTTCATTTTACGATAGCAACTATCAAGTCTGTGTTTCAAAACTGTTAGAGCCACTGGTGGTCACTCAGACGAACACAGTGAAGCCAGCAGACATAGTCAGGGCACCGGTGCCAGAACGTTCCACGTCTTCCACCCTGGTCCATCACCCTGACGAGCCATTGCCACGTATATTCCCCGTGTTTCTGTCGACGAAAACTGGCAACGTCTTGCAGTTCTTTTTGTGTGCATGGTGCCTCCTCCTGGCTCTGACCCTGGGACTTAGGAATGGTTCTAGGTGATAGGAGGTGACAGTAGACTCGAGTCTTTCAGGCCAGGAGTGGGTGGTTGGGGCAAGGGCAGGAAGCAGTGCCCTGAGTGACTGGGGAATTCAGGGTCTCAGCTTCACGGATTCTGCCCACCTGCCTCTCCCCACCCCGTCACCTCCACCTGGAGAACCTGCAGGATGTGAATCCTGCACGGCTGACTCATCCTGTTGTGCTGGTTCCCAGAAATTGCAGACCTGTGGATCCTGGAGATAAGGGCTTCCTTCAGGCCAGCACAGAAAGTCGGGAGCCGGCGTTCAGAGTCCCAGGGCGATCCAGTCCCTGCACCCTGCAATTTTATGACCCTGGTGCAAGCCGCAGCCACGGGTCCCGAGAGCCACGCCATGTGTAAACACGCACCAGACTCAGATGACTGCAGTGATAACCGCGTGACTCCTCCGGGACCACGTGTGAGTGCCCCTTCTCCACAGGTCACAGGACCACCTATCAGATCAGGAGATCACCCGAGACTCCTGTCCTAGAGGCGCTGCCCTCCTGAAAGCACACCTGGCACTCGGATCATGTTCCGTCAGAAAAACAGAGCCATTGTGATTATGATTATGGGAATATAGGGTTTACATGTGGGAGTTGCTGGGGAGGGCATTTCAGGACAGCCTTGACCAAAGGGCTGGGGAAATGGTCCAGGCAATGCCAACCGGAAGCCCCAGAAGCGGAGAGGAAAGCCATCCACCAGGGGACCCTCACCAGCCCCGAGATCTGGGTGGGCCAGGTGTCCCAAGCCTGCCGTCTGCCTCCTTCGGGAAATTCAGGCTTCCTTCCACCTGGGCCTCCCCCTCCTCCCGAGAGCTCCCCTCAGGGACAGCTGGTAGGAAAGACGAGAATGAACACATCCAGTCCAGCTCTGAGCCAGGGCAGGTGCGATAGATACAGGCTGGGGGTCCCGTCTCCCTTGGTTCTCATCTCCCCGGGCTCTAATCTCCACTGAAGTGTTTTACACAGTAAACCCCTCAAAGCCAACTGAAGCACTCGACTGTGGTTCTGATTAAACATCGTTCTGACAAAGGAGATATTATCCTAAAAGCCCTAATACTACAGATGGGCCCTGTTTCTCTGGGTGCTGCCCGGTGTGCTTGGAGAGGGGTTTGGTGACTCAGCCGTGCCCCAGGGTGGGGCTTGCCGGCCTGCAGGCCCCGCCACCTTCCCGTAAGTGCCGGTCTAGCTGAACATCAAGATCCCCGGAGGGCCATATGTGATGCTGTAACTGCTGGTGTCACTTTACAGTGAAGACATTCATTATGTCCCTTTTCAGAGCATATTTGATGTGGAGGAGGCCGCTGGAGGCCCGAGAGGAGCGAGGAGAAAGTGCAGGTCCCTGAGCAGCCCCTGGGCCCTGTGCCAGCCCCTGGGTGCCACGCCACGCCACGCCACGCCACGCCACGCAGCTGTGGGCAGGTCAGCGAGGCTGAGTCGCAAGGAACAGGAGGGTCCTCTCCAGGCTCTGGGGCCGGGGCCCTTGGAGCTCAGCAGTTTCTGGTTTGACGGGAGAGGGATCAATCCCACAAAGGTAGAAAATGTAATACAGAATATTGAATCGCGGTGAACAAGTCTAAACAACTTTAAAATGACCTTCTAGGAAGACCTGTGATACGATTTCTCCCTGCTTTCCATGTATTCCGTACCTACATTTAAATGATGAGATGTTTTTATTTTAAGTACCTGTGTATTTGTATCTCACACCGTCTCGCACGGATGTCATCCCATAATCTCCCAATTTATTGGCCAAGCAGGACCCCTCCTCCCCCACGCAGGCCAGGGTCTGGGTGGGCAGGGGCTGGTCTGACTCACAGCACTTGTCAAACGATGGATAAGGATGCAGTGAAGAAACACAGACACACCCTCACTCTGGAAGTTTCTGTGACTGAGGTTTTGGGACTGACATCAGTTTTTAATACAAGGGCAGCAGTTTTAAGGACTCAGTGGTGGTGAGGACTCATTGGAAACAAGAAGACGTTTGCCTACTTTGCAGATGTTTATGTTTTCTAAAATAGGTCTGTTTTTAAAAAAGGCATTTAAAAAGGGAAATGCTACATTCGGTGAGGGAAGAAAGTGGTAAATGTCAAGGATAATTATTTTGTGCTTGAAAGCAGAAGAAAATGAATGATTCCTGATTTCCTGAAGCATTTAAACTAAAACAGAACAGCCCCCTGCTCTGTGTAGGTGTGGAGAGAAGGGTGTGTGGGGAGAGGGTGTGTGGGGAGAGGGTGTGTGAGGAGAGGGTGTGTGAGGAGAAGCGTGTGTGGGGAGAGGGTGTGTGAGGAGAAGGGTGT